GGGTACAATGCCCAACAGCGGTTCCTTCTCATTTCGTGCAGGATTCGTTGTCGGTGTCGCTACGGCCTGTGTCCATTCGAGAAAGAAGGCCGCCTTCCCAACAGCAGTCGCTGTTAGTTTGGGACAACATTTTTATTGTTGGGCATTGTACCCAATTTTTCTGTACCCATTTCGGGCGTCCAAAAGGAAGAGAACCAGGGCTCAAGAGACGGGGGTCGATGCAAACGGGGGTCGGTCAGAGCGCCAGATCTTGCAGGATCTTGCAGAGCCAGGGGCGCACTGACCCGGGCTTGGGCGCAGGAGCCTGCGAGGCCTCATTGGCCCGGGGCTGGATGGATTGGCCCAGGTCAGTACGTCCCCGAGAGAAGTTTGGGGAAAAAGGCTAGCGCGCGGCGGGCCTCCCAGTGATGGGCCGTCTCGTCTCCGGGAAGCGGCGCCCCTGGTCGCGGCGGGTGTTGTCACCAGCCGAGAAAGAGCAGGGAAGTTCTGCGCTGAGCGTTGTTTCGGGCTGCGTGTTGGGGAACGTTTTACGCGTTGGGCGGGGGTGGAGGTCAGTGTTTGTTCATGTCGTGGCGAACGTGTGCAGCCAGTTACCCGCTTTGAACATACGTGTTGAGGCTTGGGTCAACACGTTCTGGATTGCGTGTTGTGAATGAAGGCAGTTGAATTTACAAGAGACGGCAAGCGCACGTTGGGGGATAGCATCGGTGCCCGCGTGCGCCCCAACCATAATCACGTGAAATTGAGAGCCACCTGGAGCGGCGTGCATCGCAGCCCACTGCGCCTTGATCCGAAAGAAGAGCACCACATGAAAGAACGCGACGTCGGAGGTCTGGGACGTGGCGCCGTGAGGAAAGTACGACGGGCGCTCCTGCCCAACGTCAGGCCCCGCCACCACAGCCGCGGAGGGCGACCCTGACGCCTGGGGGTCGTCAGGACAAGACTTAAGTCGGGCCTGTCCCTCTACAGGGGGAATATTCAAAGAGCGTCAAAAAATAGTCTGGGAGCGATTTTTCCGTTCTCGTCTGACCACTTGAGACTATTTGGGGGTATTGTTCACTGTTCGGCCAAAAACCGCCTGACGAGACTGCGACGGGCCCTTTCGCCCTGTTCCAGTCCGCGATGCCCCCACGAACCAATCCGGCTCGACAGGCGGAGCACGAAGACAGGGATCGAGAGCTCCCCATGCAGCACCGCGCCGGAGCTCGGGAGGGGCCCGTCGTCGTGTTGCCTCCCGTCTCCCCTTGTCCGCGAAGGTTTTTCTGGCAGGTGCCTTGTCACCGACGAAGGGGATGATGGGCTCGCGCCGCCCTCGGCGGAAGGCGGCGGCGGCAAAGCGAGAGCGGCGCCGCCAGTGGAGGCCGGCAGAAGTGCGGCACCAAAAGGCGGAAGCGAAGGTTGATCAGGAGGGGAAAAGACACAAAGACACAAGTAATCGTCGATCCCTAGGAAAAGATTGGAAAATATGGGAAGTGGGGGGGGAAGACGAAAATCCAGAAAATATATGAAAATATTGGGAATCGTGGGATTTGTGTGTGCATTGATTTGTGTGTCCCTGCTGGGCCCCTTCAGTTGACGCCCCAAGAGAGGTGAACGGCAGCATCCCCAGGGCTTCGAGAGCCGCCCACTTGGGCACGCCGTGTGCAGTGACCTCGTCACCACACAACGAGGCTCAAGTCGGGCACGTCCCTCTACAGGAGGAATATTCAATAATAGACAAAAAATAGTCTGGGGACGATATTTCGAGTACTTGTGGTGTATTCTTGAACATGTTCTGGCTCTCTTTTATTTTTCGTTCAAAATCCGCCTGCAGGGGGACACGCCCGACCTAAAATGAGGCTTGGAAGGAGCTCGACAAGTGCTTCTGCCCAAATAGAGCTGGTGTCGAGGTCGACCTCGCGATCTGCTGGGCCAGTTTTACGGGGCATCTGGCTGTGGAAAACAAAGCCCACGAGACAGTCCACAAACCAACCCACGGGACAGGACAACCACAGACAACCCACGGGGGAATTCCCGCGCGGCACCGCGAGACAGTGGGCGAAACATGTTTCCCTGCTTGGCCTCAGCCCCGGCCGACACAGCGTCGCCTTCACGCAGCTTCGCTTCGCCCACGCACACCACATCAGCCGAAGCCGAAGCCGATTTCCCGTTTGGGGCTACTTCGCCCTCAACCCCCAGCCTTCGACGCACAATAACAACAACGCGCTGCGACCACACTCCACAACGCTCCGAGACCACACCCCACTCTATCGACCACAGCCTTGTTTGTACTGCCCGTCCGTCGAGCAGTTTGGAGTGCCCTCTACATGCCTATAGGCCCATGTTTCGGTGCAGTGAACACGTGTGTACTTTTTATATGTGCACATGCTATGAACAAACGAAGCCACACGTATACGTACAGCCTGTACGCGCATGTATACATACATGGGGGTGCTGTCCGGGGGTGGCATCCATGTTCTACCCCCACCCAGGCGGTCCATCCCCCCACGCTCATTGAGCAGCTTGGGGCACCCCATCCCTATTGGGGGGGCGGCGGGGCAGCGCGGTGGCCAGGGCCGCTCCCTGGTCGGGTCCAGAGACAGATTCTCAGCGCGGCCTTCCTCAGTTTGGGAGGAGAGCGGGGGGCGCGTACGCTGCCTGGCTTCCGCAGCCTGACTCAAGCCATTTCGGCCCTGGTGGACCGGAGCCGACGCAGCGCAGGAGGCGCTGGCGCGCGCCTGGTGCGGCGGCTTGACCGCTCCACCTCCACGGCTCGCGGCCGGGCCCATGCCCGCGAGCACTGAGCTCCCCGTTGCCCGCGCGCCGGCGGACGATGCCGGCGAGCCCGTCGCGCGGGTCGCGGGCGCGCCCACGCCCATGGCGGTCTCCTTCTCGGAAGAGCAGATGCTGCGCGCCTACCTCGAGTGCCCCGCCAGCACCGCCTACCACGCCCCCCTCGCGTTCTGGCTGGACGGGCCCGTCGCGGCGGACGCGGCGGCGCGATGCTTGCAGGCACTCGTCGACAGGCACCTCGCGCTAAAAATGCACTTCGGGGTCTCCGGCGGCGGCGTGCTGCAGGCCTTGGCCGAACCTGCCTGCGCACCGCGGGTGGCCCGCGAGAGCGTCGCTGGCCCTGCGGAGGCCCTGGCGCTCGCGCGGGCGCTGGCGGCGGAGCCCTTCCGCCCCATGGAGGGCCCGCCGTGCCGCGCCGCGGTGCTCGCGGCGGCCGGGCCGGAGCCGAGGCTGTTGGTGGCGCTGGTCGCGCACCACGTCGCCGTGGACATGCTCTCGCTCCAGGTGCTGCGGAAGGAGTTCTGCCAGCTCCTGGCGGCCGCGCTGGGCGCGGCCCGGGCGCTGCCCGCCTGCGGGCTGGACAGGGCCGACCACGCCGAGTGGCAGCGGCGCGCCGCGGCGGCCGGGGCGTTCGCGGCGCCCGTGGCGCGGAGGGTTGCGCGGTTGGCACGGCACGCGGCGCCGCAGCTCGCGCTGCCGCTGGACAAGCCCAGGCCGCCGCGCTTCACCCACGCCGGGGGCGAGGTGCGCGGCGTGATCCCGGCGGGCGTGCTGGAGAGGGCAGAGGCGGCAGTGCGTGCCTGCGGCATTCTCGCCACACGTTTCGACCTTCTCCTGTCGCTGTTCGCGGTAGTGCTGTGCCGCAGCACTGGGCAGGAGCAGTTGGTCATCGGCGTGCCGCACCACGGGCGGGGGCGTGAGACCATGCACACGGTCGGCTGCTTTATCAACATCCTCCCTGTCTGCTGCTCGGTTCCTGCAGGGACGCGACTGGCCCAGGTTGTGGCTAGCGTCCACGAAGAGATGGTGTCCGCACAGCGAGACGCAGAAGCCCCTCTGATCGAGGTGCTCGCGGCGCTCCGGGCAGAGGGCCTCGCGAGGCCCGACCCCTCGCGGAACGCGCTGTACCAGGCCGTGTGCAACATGTGGGGGGACGTCGAGGACAGGTCCTGGCGGGAGAGCGCCTCCCTCCTGCCGAGCTCGAAGGATCAAGAGCAGCATGAGCATGAGCTTTCAGAGGTCCGTGCGGATCTCTTGGATCGGCGATGAACCCCCTTCCCTTGCGCGCGAAGCACGCGCCAGGGGCGGCGCCGGAGGCGCCGCCAGGGGGCTTCGGCGCCGATCCGAGAAATCCGCGCCGACCTCCGAAAGCTCATTGAAATGCTGGCTGTTTCTTCTTCTGCGAGCGGCGTTTCCCTCGCGCGGGCCGAGGACCTGCGATGCGTGGGCGGGCAGGTCGACGTCCAGCTGGAGCTCCACGCTGCCCCCCACGGCGGGCTCGCGGTCGCCTGCGGCTACTGCAGGGACCTCTTCGCCGAGGCCTCGGCGCGCGGCTGGCTGCAGGAGCTGCGAGAGCTGGCCGAGCGGGTGGGCGCGGACCCCTCGGCGGACGCCTGGGCGCCGAGGGCGCGCGGCCCCGAGCTTGCTCCGGGCCAGCCCGCGGGCCAGGGCGCCGTGGGCCAGGCGGTGCGGCAGGCCGTCGCTGCGGTGCTGCCCGGCGGGGAGCTCCTCGGGGACGACACGCCCCTGGCGCACGCCGGCCTGGACTCCACGTCGGCCGCCTTCCTGCACGACCGCCTGTCCGCGATCGCGGGCTCGCTGCTGCCCAGGTCCGCGGTCTTCGACCAGCCGAGCATCGCTGGCCTCGCCCGGGCGCTGCTCGAGCCCGCGGGGTCGCGCGAGCTTGGGCAGGTGTCCGAACGGGAGGCGCGCGCCGCCGACCCAGAAGGCCCCGATTCGCCTGCTGCCGCTGAGCCATTGCTTATACGCGTGAGGCCTGCGAATGACGAGGATTGGCCGGGCTTGCAGCGCCTGTGGAGGGACCACCACCACCTTTTGGAGATGGTGCCCGCAACCACTGCGCTCTTGGCCTGGGGTCCACCCGCGTGGCTCCTCGTGGTGGTTATCGCGATGCGCCGTGCACCGTGGAGCGAAGCCCCGCGCACCTCGGAGGGGCTTGGCGGCCTCTCTGGCCTGGCAGTCTACGCGCTGCTTGTTCTGGCCCAGCACGCACTGCACTCTCTGTGTGCGCGGGGGGTCCTAGCGCACGATCTGGCGCGAGGCGAATTGACCAGGGAGGGCTGGGCTCGCAAGGTCGGGCGCGGAAAGTCTGTGGTGCTCGTCGCGCTCGAGGGCGACGCAGACGGCCGCGTCGTGGGCACAGTGGCCGTGAGGCTCACGGACCTGTGCGGAAGGCACGGCCCTGGCCGAGGATGCTGTTCGTGCCGCCGCGCGGCCGCGCGGTCGCGGCGCGGCGATGGCGGCGCCGCGTCGCTCTGGCACGCGGCGGTGGACCCGCGCGCCAGGAACCGGGGCACCGCCACAGCGCTCCTGCGCGAGGCCGAGGCCTGGGCCTCCGAGCGCCGCGCCCTCACGCTCGAGGCGCTCTGCCTGAGCGGCCCGGCCAAGGCCGCCTGCTGGAACGCGGGCTTCCAGCTGTGGAACGATTGGAGCGGAAGGTTGCCGCTGGTGCCCGGCGTGTTCCTCAAGCAGGTGCCCGCGCACGATCGCGCCCGTGCCCGCGCAGCTTGACATGTTTCTGTTCCCGGGTCATCGTGTGGGTCGTCTCGGTGGCACGCGAGGCGCGTCCCATCCCGCCGAAGTTGTGTATGTTGGCGTTGGCCCGTTGTGTGTCCCTATCCTCCACATAGCGTTCCTCGGCCTTCTCATCTGCCTCCTCCCCTCGCTCCACTTCAATGGGCACGCGTGCTTGATATCACTGGCTGTTAGGGCCTTGGGTGATATGCGCTGGTCACAACCCGATGTGTCTCACAAGTCACAGAAAAGGTGCCATGAGCTTGCCCACGGCATGTTGATTCATGTGGCGTTCTCGGTTTGCTTGGCAGTCTCCCGTTTTCTGTGGTACCAGCCGCCTTGCGCTCAGATGCGGAAGTCTTCATTTTGGGTCAGGCAAGGAAGCGAAGGTCTGAGGCGATACGATGCTTGAACTCTCTCCCTACCAGGAAAAAAGTGCGGGTAAGGTTCCAAAGTCACCGCGGTCTGAGTACGTCCGCTCGATGGCTGCTTGGAAACGCGAGGGGTGCAGTGAGGATGGTATGCGTATGGGGAGTCCAGGAGCATCCTCGCGCGCGTTCAGGGCCAGAGGTTGGATTGGGCGAGCATTTGGGGATTGTACAGCGCAACGCACTTGAGAGGGAACGAGGCAGAGACGAGGCAACTGCCGCTCAGGCTAGAGGTGGATTCGGTGGGGCTGGGGCCGCAGAATAAGGCTGGGGATGAAGCCAGTGCTTGGCTTCGCGTGGAGGCTCGAACTGGCCGTGACTGCGGCTGGTAGCCGACATCTTGGCAGCAAAAATTGATATGCTTTACGGAACCTGGGATGAGTTGATATTGCACGCGTCCACAACCCCATCTTCAATTTCTTGTTCCCCTAATCCTTCCCCTCTGCCTCAAGGAGAAGGAGGAGGAGGAGAAGAAGAAAAAGAAGAAAAAGCAGCAGAAGGAGAGGGAAGGGGGAGAAGAGAAGGGTGAAGGTAGGGAGGGAACTCCAAAGGGAAGGAGGGAGGGGCAGGAGGTTGATAGAAGGGAAGGAAGCGGTGGGACAAGGGAGGAGGCGGAGGATAAGGGTGAGGAGGGGGAGAGAGGAGGAGGGAGGAGGAGGAGGAGGAGGAGCAGGAGGAAAGAGGGAGGAGAAAGAGGCGCATGAGGAGGAGCAGGATGGGTAGGAGGGACGAGGAGAGGAGGAGGGGAGGAGGAGAGGAGGAGGAGGAGGAGGAGGAGGAGGAGGAGGGAGGAGGAGGAGGACCAGTGTAAACCCAAGGCGCATCAACGATGCTGCAATAAACCCTCCCAACCTCCCTCGCCACATGTCCCTACAAGACTTCATTTTCATTGCGGGACGTGCGCCTCTGAAAGACAACCGTCTGCAAATCCTCCATCGTACCACAACACCAGTCTTGGGACTTCAACGCCACGAATTAACGTAACTGTTGCGTCATGACAATATGAATTCTAGACGCTTCGCGCAACCCACCAGCCCATCCAGAAACGATGCCCGGAGGAGTTGCCTCGACCAGGGAAGTGGGCAGCACGCAGAGAAGCCTCTTGGAGCGTCTTGGGGACCTCCCGGCGGACCCGGAGGCCTTTTGGAGGATCTTGGGTGCTTGGGGGAGCTTCTTGGGGCCTCTCGGGGGTCTCTTAGAAGGCTCTTGGAGGCCTCTTGGGCGCCTCTTGGGGCCTCCTAGAACCTCCTGGGCGACTCTTAGTGCCCTCTTGAAGCGCTATTGGGAGCCTTGGGAGCGCTCTTGGGGCCATCTTGAAGGACATCGATCAAACAAGAGGGGAGCTTTAATAGCATTGCCCCCCAAGAGGCCAAAATGGGGCCAAAACCGCCGTAAAACCAATGAATTGGGCGTCCTCGCCGAGGCCGCTTTGGACGCTCCAACGCGTCGCGCCCCCCCCCCCCGTCCAGGTCCAGGGACCAAATCACGTATGCCCAGAGGGCTGGTGGGATTTGTGCCAGAGTACCAGCCTGGGGCGCCAACACCGCGAGTTAACGTGATTGTTGCGTCCTGACAATCCTAAATCGTGCCAGAACACCACTCCTGGGACTTCAACCCTACGAGTCCTTCAAACTGCTGTAGGCAGGTAAAACGAATGCGCGCGGCGCTAAGACGAGAGCCACATTTCGAAATACAACAGCACTCAATCCGAGATATTGCTGCAAACAGTTACAACGGATGTGTGCGGCGCTAAAACGAGAGCCAAAGTTTGCAAAAAAGGGCAGTCATCCATCCGAGAAGTTGCCGCAAACGTTTGAGGTGGATGTGCGCGGCGGTGAGGCGAGAGCACCATGTTGAAAACGGCCCGCTCTCCGTCCGTGAAACTGCTGCACACTTTAAGCTTCAGGGTTGTACATGGTGAGGATTTCTCAGGTGAAACGCCCAGACCGCCCCACTGACGCGTCTAGGTGCGCGACAGGGAGGAGTGATCTAGAAGGAGAAGGGCTGGAGGAGAAAGAGGAGAAGGAGGAGGAGGAGGCGGAGGAGGAGGAGGAGGGAGGAAAGAAGGAGAGATCGGAGGGAGGAAGAGGAAGAAGAGGATATAGGGGGAGGAGAAGGAGGAGGAGGAGGAGGAGGAGGAGGAGGAGGAGGAGGAGGAGATGGAGGAGGAGGAGGAGGAGGAGGAGGAGGATGAGGACCAGCGTAAGCCCAAGAGCCATCAATAAACCCTCCCTCCAAGCTCCCTTGTCACAGACCCCTACAAAAGGTTCATTTCCATGTGGGGAATTGCTTCGTTCGAAGACAACCGTGCGAAGACCCTGAAGCATGCTAAAACATTGCTCTCGGGATTCCAACGCCACGGATCAGCCTGGCTGCCGCGTGTAGACGATCCTGAATCGCACCAGAACGCCATTCCTGGGACTTCCACACTGCGAATCAAGGAAACGGTTGCGCCCGCGTAATCCTGAATCCTTTCAAAACACGCTTTCTGAAACGTTGATGATGGGATTCCGTGAAACGTTTACAAATGGGGTGAAAGAATGTGCGCGGCGCTAAGGCGAAAGCCACATGTTGAAAAGGAACCGCCCTCAATCCGCGAAACTCTTGCACATGTTCAAATCGAATGCGCGCCGCGCTAAGGCGAGAGCCACATTTTCAAAACCACCCGCCCTCCATCCGTGAAGCCCTTGCAACTTGTTATTAAGAATGTGCGCCTCGCACTTGTGTTAAAGCGAATATGCGCCGTGCTAAGGTGAGAACTTCCTTTTGAAAGCCATTCGCCCTCAATCCGTGAAACTATTGCATTGTTGTAACACGAATGCGCGTCGCGCTCAGGCGAGAGTCACCTTTATAGATGATACTACTAATAGTAGTAGTAGTAGTAGTAGTAGTAGTAGTAGTAGTAGTAGTAGTAGTAGTAGTAGTAATAATAATAACAAGAACAAGAAGGAACATAACAATGATAACAATAGCCATGCGATGTGCAACATACACACACACACAAAAACCAACAACCAAAAACAGCAAAAAAGCAACAACACAAAGTTTAAGCAATAATAACAATATTATAAACAACAACAAAAAAACATAAACAACACAAAAAAAAACACACACACACACGAATAAAAAAAAAACATAATATTATTTTTGAATATACATATAACGATACATACATATATATATATATATATATATATATATATATATATATATAGATAAAAAAAAATTTTTTTTTTTAAAAAAAAAAAAAAAAAAAAAAAAAAAAAACAAAAAAAAAAAAAAAAAAAAAAAAAAAAAAAAAAAAAAAAAAAAAAAAAAAAAAAAAAAAAAAAAAAAAAAAAAAAAAAAAAACGCCCGCCCTCAATCCCTGAAGCTCTTGCAAACGGTCTGAAAGAATGTGCGCGGCGCTGAGGCGAGAACCACATGTTGAAAAGGAATCGCCCTCAATCTTTGAAGCTCTTGCAAATGTTAAAACGAATGTGCGCCGCGCTAAGGCGGGAGCGACATTTTGAAAGCCACCCGCCTTTTTATCTGTGAAAGTGTTGCCAATATTTAAGCTTCAGAGTCATTAGTGGTGAGGACGTCTCAGGCGAAACGCCCAGCCCGCCCTAAAATCTGGCCTCGGGGTGCGACAGGGAGAAATTGCTTATAAGGAAAAGAAATGGAGGAGCAGAAGGAGGAGGATCGGAGGAGGACGAGGAGGAGGAGGAGGAGGAGAAGGAGGAGGACGAGGAGGAGGAGGAGAGGAGGGCGGAGGAAGGAGGAGGAGGAGCAGGCAGGAGGAGGAGGGAGGAGGAGGAAGGAGGAGGACGGAGCAGGAGGATGGAGGAGGGGAGACAGGAAGAGAGCGTGGCTGGTCAGCAGGACGCTGTAGGTCTACGCTGCGCGGGGCGCGGCCGCGGCAGGACGCGCCGCAGCCCTGCAGGCGACGAGGCGGCGACAGTCCCCAGCGGCAGCGGCCGCGGACCCGCCCGCAGGCCGCGCTGGAGAAGGCCCGCAAGGATCACGCCGAGGCCGTCGCGGCCCTGCAGGTGGCCGCGCGCGAGGCCCCGGGCGGGGGGGGGAGGCAGCCTGCCGCGCTCACGGCCGGGGTACTCTCTCTAGGCCACCCAGACGGGGTCCGAGTAGATGGGGCCGTAGGATCGCGCCGCGTCGCCGATGCATCGGCGATGCGGCTCGATGTGGAGCCTGACTTTCCCCGCGCCGGCGATGCGGCGCGTTCCTCCGAGCCCACCTACTCGGACCCCATTTGGGGAGACCTCTACCTTTGGGGGGTGCTAAAGGTGTCCTTGGCCCCAGGTATTTCCAGCTTCTCGCTCAATTTAGGTGCCCCTGGGGGCCCTCTGGACCTCGTGAGGGGTGATCTAGAGACCGTGGACGCGGAAAGCCCGGGATCGGCGGGTGGTAGTGCGGGGTGACTTCAAATTGAGGGTGAAGAAAAGGACCTTTAAAGGGGCCCTGTTAGAGCCCCTTTTGGGCCCCTGCTGTTTCTAAAAAAAGCCCTACGGGACCCCTTTGGGGCCCGTCTCTTAACACCCTCTTTATGTCACCTCCCATTACCACCCGCCCGAAGGGACAGCGTGGGAGTCACGCCTTCGCGTTGGGGCGCGGGCGCGCCCGCCCCGAGACAGCACTCCATGCAGGAGGGCACAGGACCTTCGGGGTCATTTTTGCGGGCTCGCTCATTAGGCCGCCACCCGCCCCGCGAGGAGGGGGAGGAGGAGGAGGGGAGGAGGGGGAGGAGTAGGACCAGTGGAAACCCAAGAGTCATCAACGATGTTGGAATGAACCCTCCATCCGAACTCCCTCTCCATAGGCCCTGCAACGGTTCATTTCCATTGAGGGAACTGCCTGGTTGGAAGACAGCAGTTTGAAGATCCTGAAGCGTGCCAAGACATTGTTCTCGGGATTCCAACGCCACAACCTGATTACTGTGTCTTGGCGATCCAGAATCGCGCGAGAACGCCATTTTAGGGGTTTCAACACAGCGAATCAAAATAACTGCTGCGCCAGCATAATCACGAATCCTTCCAAAAACAGTTCCACATGCGTTGATCATGGGAATACATGAAAGTCTTGCAACTTTCTCTCTCTCTCTCTCTCTCTCTTTTTTCTCTCTCTCTCTCTCTCTCTCTCTCTCTCTCTCTCTCTATATATATAAGTAAGTAAGTAAGTAAGCAAGTAAGTAAGTAAGTAAGTACGTAAGTAATGAATGACTGAATGAATTCATCAATTAATTAGTTAATAACACGAATGTGCGCGGCGCTGAAGCGAGAGCCGCATTTTGAAAATGAACCTCAATCCGCGAAACTCTTGCACATGTTTTAAACGAATGAGCGCGGCGCTAAGCCGAGAGCCACATTTTGAAAGCCGCCCGCCCTCGATCCGTGAAACTCTTTCAATTGTGGCGAGAGCCACATTTTGAAAGCCACCCGCCCTCAATCCGCGAATCCCTTGCAATTTTGTAAGACGAATGCGCGCGGCGCTAAGGCGAGAGCCACATTTTGAAAATCACCCGCCCTCAATCCGTGAAACGCTTCCATTTGTTAAGACGAGTGTGCGCGGCGCTGAGGCGAGAGCAACATTTTGAGAACGACCCGCCCTCAATCGGTGAAGCTCTTCTAATTTTTTCAAACACGAATGCGCGCGGCGCTAACGCGAGAGCCACACTTTGAAAGCGACCCGCCCTCCATCTGTGAAATTTTCAGCTTCGGAGTCATAAGTGGTGAGGATGTTTCAGGCGAAACGCCCAGCCCGCCCTAAAAACTGGCCTCGGGGTGCGACAGGGACGAGTTATGTATAAGGAGAAGGAATGGAGGAGGAGGACGACGACGACGACGAGGAGGAGGAGGAGGAGCAGGAGGAGGAGGAGGAGGCGGATTAGGAGGAGGAGGAGGAGGAGGAGGAGGAGGAGGGGGAGGAGGAGAACCTGGACCAGTGCAAAGCCGTGACGCATCAACTATCTTGCAATAAACCCTCCCTCCAGGCTCCCTTTTCATAGGCCCCTACAAGAATTCATTTTTCATTGCGGGAAGTGCCCCATTGGAAGACAACCGTCCGAGAATCCGCAGTCCCGCCAAAACACCACTCGTGGGCTTCAACCCCGCGAATCCACGTGACTGGTGCGTCCTGACATTCGAAAGTGCGCTGCAGGCAGGGGGATGTTCAAGCCCTGCCCCCCTTCAAAAAAAGGAGGGGTCCGGACCCCCCCCCCACCCACCCACCCCTGGGGGAAATTATTCGGAGCGGTCCATCACCCACCCGCCCACCCGGGAAAATCATCCGGAGGGGTTTAGATACCCTCCCCCCTTCCCCCCCCTCCGCGAAAACTATTCGAGGGCTCCAGACCCCCCCTCCCCCACCAACGACGACGACAACGCGACGACGACGACGACGACGACGCCGACGCCTACGCCGACAAAGACGACGACGACGACGACGACGACGAGAATGACGACGGCGACGACGACGACGACAAGGACGCCTACAACGACGATTACGATCGAAGCCTAGTGGAGTACGATCATAGCTGCATCGAACCCTAGTAGGATTCCGTTAAAGCTGGATCGAACCTTGATAAGATTGCATTAGAGTCGGACCGAGCCCGAGTAGTTTGCTATTGAAGATAGATCGAGCCCTAGTAGGATTCGATTAGAGCTGAGTTCAAGTTTGTGAAGATTTTGCATGAATGCTGGATCGAACTGTCGTCGAATTTCCATCTGGATCGAGCTTTAGTAAGATTCGAGTAGAGCTGGATTCAGCCCTAGCACGATGATGTTAGAGCAGGGTCGAGCCCAAAGTAGGACTCCACCACAGCTGGGTCGAACCCGAGTACGATTCTGAGGGAGCTGGACCGACGCCTACAAGGATGTTGCTAAAGCTGGATGGAGCCTTAGCAGGATGCTGGTGGAGCTGCACCGGGCCATAGCAGGGTTCGTGTAGACCCTGGTTCCAGCCTTACAGCACAGCTAGATCCGGCTTCAATGGGATTCTAGTAGAGCTGGGTCGCCCCCTAGCCAGATGTTTTTAGAGCTGGCTCGAGTCCTAGTAGGATTCCAGTGGAGCTGGTTCGAGCCGTGGTAGGATTCTAGTAGAGCTGGATCCAGCCCTAGTAGGATCTATGAAAGCAGGACTGGGCCTTAGTAGGATTCTACATGAGCTTGATCGAACCCCTCACAGGGTTCTGAGGGAGCTGGATCCAGCCTTGGTACACGATTCGGTTAGAGATGGATCGAGCCCTCGTAGGAGAGTCTGTCAGAGTTGGATTCAGCACGAGCAGGATTCGATTAGAGCTGGATCCAGGATTCTTCCCCACACAGTGTTTGCACTTAGGGATTTGTCGTTTTGCCGGTTATGTGGCCGCCGTCGCCACCACGTCGCCACCTCGTCGCCACCTGCATTCCGGGCCTGACCGTTAGAATGGCGAAGAAGTTCTACCACATAGATTACCTTACATATGTTGCACATCATAGATTGCACCAGATGCGTGTCACCACATATGTTGCACAACATCGATTGCACCACACGGATTGCACCACATAGGCTGCACCGCATAGGTTGCACCACACATATTCGAACCACATAGATCGCACCACATAGATTGCACAACAAAACAAAGATTGCACCACGTACATTTCACAACATCGAGATTGCACAACGTAGGTTCCACATCGTATTTTGCATGACCTAGATTCTCCTTTCTGAGAAAAGAGTAGACTCTACCCCCCCCCCCCTGGCGTTATCGCCCCTCCTTTCCGGTATGAAAAACATGTATGATTCTGACCACATGTCCATCCGAAATATGGATTTGCATTACCCCAGAGGGGCTGGAATCGGCCCCCCTGAGGTTCCCCCCCCAAAAAAAAACACGCGGAGACATGTTTTGTTCTAACATCCGACTTTTTCGCGAATCCCTTGCAAAAAGTGGGACGAAGTGCACACGCGCGCCGCGTCGTCGCGCGCGCATGCCGAAATCCTTCCAAAACCTTCGGTGTCGGAAGGATTTCGCAATCGAGCTTCCCAAAAAAACATACAACAGCACAGGGTTTCGCAACACTGAATTGCTAAAAAAGCTTACGCGCGAGCTCTTCCGAAATTTTCAGAAAACCATAGGTTTTTCAACATTTACACAAAATGATACCAAACGGACTTCGCGCGCGCGCATGTCGAAATATGTCGAACGCCCTTGCGCGTGTGCCGTCGCGAGGATCCTCTGCAAAAAAGTAGGACGAAGTGCAAACGCGCGCGTCGTCGCGCGCGTATGCCGAAATCCATCAAAACCCATCGGTTTCGGAAGGATGTCAAAATCTTGTGTTCAAAAAACCTATATATAAAAAAAAAAAAAAAAAAAAAAAAAAAAAAAAAAAAAAAAAAAAAAAAAAAAAAAAAAAAAAAAAGGTGTCGCAACACGGATTTTCAACAAAAGCGTGCGCGCGCGCTCTTGCGTCGTCGTCGTCGTCGTCGCCGTCCTCCCTCCTCCCGCGTCGTTGTCGTCGTCGTCGCCTACGTCGTCTTTTGTCTTTCCTCGTGTTCGTCGTCGTCGTCCTCTTTGGCGTCGTGGTCGTTTCCGTCGTCGTTGTCGCCGTGGTCGTCCTTCCTCCTCCTCCCTCGTCGTCGTCGTCGTCGTCCGTCGTCGGCGTCTCGTCGTCGTCCCTCCTATTTCGTCGCCGTCGTCGTCGTCGTCGTCGTTGTCGTCGTCGTCGTCGCCTTCCCTCCTCCCTCGTCGTTGTCGTCGTCGGCGCCGTCACTGGCTGCCCCGTCTTCGCTGTCAGCATCGTCACCAGCATCGCTACTACCAGCATCGTGTCTACCATTGTCGATGTTGCCATGATACCGCGCCCGCCCAAGTTGCCGACTCGCACTCAAGTGCCCGCTGGGATGAGCCGAGCGGTCAGCGCCACCGCGTTCGCGTCGGTCGCGCTGAACTAGCTGGCCGTTGTGCGCGCGAGCATGCGCGGGTTAGCGCGGCCGCAGAGATGCACCAGCCAACATCCAGCACTCATCGCAGTCGCTCCCGCATGGGTTTTGCAAACCAAGTTGCGGGTGG